ACAAGTAGGCCGAGAGGCACGCAGAGAGAGGGGGAAGCAGGCTCCCCGCTGAGCAGAGAGCCCCATGTGGGGCTCCATTCCAGGACCCTGGGATCATGACCTGAGTCAAAGGCAGAGGCTTAACCCACTGTGCTACCCAGGCGCCCCAGTCATATAATATTTTAAAGCCAGTTTCCTCACCCGTGGAAAGAAACACTAGAAGACAATTAATAGTGTCTGATGAGATACATTTGTCCCTTTTCTTTCATTTGAGTAATCCCTAAAGCATACTTCTAATAACAATTCAGTATCTAATCTGAAATCATCAAAAATTAATTTACTACTCTGATACGGTGAGATAGTCAAAAGCTATAATTATAATAAGAAAGTATCCTCTTCTATATCAATAATCAATAAGCATTTTGATCTCTTCCAACATGTTCACTCTAAAACCTTGATTCCATCTCTCTCTATCCACATCTTCAAATTTAGTCATTAGCGCAGATAGCCATACCGTCTTCAAAAATGTGGTCTGAATTAATACTAGAGCCTCAAGAGTTTAGCCTGGAATTAACACTAAAAGTAAGAACTCCAATTTCTACACTATTACTGGAAACTCCTTCACATAATCCAAACAGGGATCTAGAAAACAAAATTTCAGGTCAATCTCCTTCCATCTTTGCACAACTCAGACTCACAGAGTTCTATTTCTTGTAAAGCTGAAAAAATGCTTTGTTTTAATCCCCACAGGGGTACAGTCTTAGGGTTTAGAGAAATGCTACATCTCACATGCACATGGAATAATGAAATATATCAACATTTGGAAAATCTGCATAACTCAGTGAACTGGTATTTTTCAAAGAATCAATTCAGGATATAAACTCATGAGTGGTTGTAAAGATGCATTTAAGGTTTAAGATAAACCAAGAGATTTTAATGTAACAGAGTACACACAGTTCATTCCTGTTGTTTTAGATACAACACTGCAACTCGCCTTTATAAAATTACTGTGTTGGAGCAACTGGCTGGCTCAGTGACTCTCAGAATCATGAGTTTGAGCCCCATATTGAAGGTAGAGTTTACTTTTAAAAAATTAGTTTGTCAAGTTTGACATAGTAGCAAACTTGTCCTATCTAAAAAGACTAGGAAGAAAATAAATAAATAAAAAGACTAGGAAGATACTTCTCCATTTTCCCATTACATATTTGTTTGAAGCCAGAACTTTTTTTTTATACTCAGTCAAAAACAACTGGATGATAAAGAAAATGTGAGAATCCTGCTGTCTTCTATTAAGCCAGTTAGTAGAGATTTGCAAAAATGGAAAACAATGTTACATTTCACACAAGTGTTACTGACAGGCTATTGTGTTTGTTATTGTTTTAAATGAACTAATAAATGTTTTTAAACTTTTTAGTCAGCTTTTATTTCTAATGTAAATATTGATGGCGATAACCCATACAAAGTTTTGTGAAGCCCTCAGTAATTTTTAGGAATGTAGAGGCCCTTGACACCAACAAGTTTGAGAACCACCTAGAATATACAGAATTGTGAAGGTACTAAAACCTTTTTCTGGAAGCTGCCTCTCAGATGATTCCTTTGTGATGGGGGAGGGAGGAGATCCGCAACACTTTACTGCTACCTTATGTTAACTGAAGTAAAACTCTTACCTCTGAAGCTCTTTGCCACATTGTCTTGTAGGCTGAAAACGTTGGATGAGGTAGGAGTTAGGATGTCAAAACCTGAAACATCTGTCATCTTCTGATCCATCCAAATGGCTCATATTTAAAATAGAAATTAAAATTTAGATTATCAAATGTTATTCAATCGGTTGGTGTCATAGCTTATTTGTGAAACTCGGTCTCATGTCCCCTAACCTTTTGCTTGCGAATCAGTATTGGATGACTGGCGGCCGTAATTCAGGCCTGGGACTCAGAAAGGATTTCTGGTTAAATGTGAAGGTTTGGGTATATGCACAGGCACACAGAATAGTTTAATCCAAGAGAGTCACAGAGGGGACAGTGGAAAGCTGAAGTCGGTCAAATAAATGAACATGGAACGAAACCTCAGTGAATGCTTATCAAGAAAATACAAAGAATAGAAAGCCAAGAGAAGGGTACTAATGTTTTTTGAATACACACAATGATTGTATGAGAAACCACTGGGTTACATGAGGAATCAACGGCTCACATTACCTCAGAGTAGATGTTGGGCTCTATGCTAATCTCCTACAAATATTGAACAAACTATATCATCATAACTGTGTAAAGCAGGTATTTTCTTCTTCATCTATCAACTAGGAAATACAGGTTTTGAGGGTGAGTACACTTCCAGGATCACACAAACGGATTCCACATCATCACACAATGACATGTCAAAGATAGGGTTTGAATTTCAGGTGTCTCTTATCCTGGATCCTCTCTAAGAAAATCATATATAATATATGTATATATAAATGTAAGTAAATACATATATATATTTAAAATATATGTAAATAAAATATATAAACATTTATATGTATGTTTATATATTTATATACATATATGTATATATAATATACATACATATATATGTATGTATGTATATATAATATCTACCTTCAAGAACTTTCATGTCTGGCTTTAAATTACACTAGCCTCTTCCCTGTTCTCTTGAGGTGGGGGAGCTGATAGAAATCCATGGATGTGTAATGAGCTTTTATAGTCATCCATAGGCAACATTCTACTTTTTTTTTTTTTTTTAACATTTTACTTTTTCTTTATGGGCCATGAATTACAAGTACAAGGGGACAAACAGCAAATGTGTTTCTGTTTAATAAAGAAACCCCATTTCACTAAATGTTCTCATTGCTGGAACTGTTAGCACACGGACAGCTAAATGCTACTAAGCAAGAATCCGCAATCCTGCATTACACATAATACCATGGAAATTCAGAGCCAAGGTTAAGTGTTCCTGTGAAGTCCCACAGCTAGACACCTGACACCCACGATTTTCACCCTACCCCTAAATAAGGTTAATCTATAGTATATGTAAGAGTGAATAAGATGGATAATATATTTTAAATTACAACTTAGCATTTAAAAGCTATCATCCAATTAAAATTCAAGAAAGAGGAGTCTAAGTGGGATGAAATTGAGCTCTGAAACTTAAGCCAGTTCCTCAGGAGCTGAATCACACCTAAGGCAGTGTTCAAACAAAGGCTGAAGCCTTGAGGGTGTGTAGGGGAAAATTAGTAAGTGGGTTTCCCCAGAGCGGTGTGAAGTCATCAGGCCAGGATAATGCTTCCCAGAGGTGTAACCTTGTGGGGGGTGAGGGGGGAGGTGTTGGCGGAAATGCGTGGTACTTTGCAGGTCTGCCCCTGGGGACTGGGTTGGCTGCCTACCTGGTTTGCCATAAAATTCTTGACCTCCAAGCACATCCCCTAACACCACACCCTGCGCGACTCCTTGAAAAGCATCGTTTCAAATTTCACTCGACTATTCTGTTTTGACTTGTTCATTATTATCCAAAATATGTGATAAGGAGCAAAACCCCACTTTTCAAGGCCTAGCCGAGTTCCAAAGAAGTCCACACTTCAGAGAAACCTTGGAAGAGAAGGGGAAAAAAAGAAAGAGAAGGAAGGGAAAGAAAGAAAGGAAAGAAAGAAAGAAAGAGAAAGAAAGAAAAGGGAAAGAAAGAAAGAAAGAAAGAAAGAAAGAAAGAAAGAAAGAAAGAAAGAAAAGGAAAGAAAGAGAAAGAAGGGAATGAAAGAAAGAAAGAAGGGAAAGGAAAGAAAGAGAAAGGGAAAGAAAGAAAGAAAGAGAAAAGGAAAGAAGGGAAAGAAATAAGGGAAAGGAAGAAAGAAAGAAAGAAAGAAAGAAAGAAAGAAAGAAAGAAAGAAAG